GTGAGTGTCCTGGTGGTGATCGTGGGAGTACATACAGATGCAACACACAATTTGGACACACTGGAGCAGTCTGGCTGCACCACGGGCACAGAAATCGCGTGAGCTGTGCATCCTCCTCACCTCTCAGTCCAAGCAACACGGCTCGCAACACCATGCGGCAATGTTTCTAGCTCGGCTCTCAAGCGGGATCCAAATGGTGAAGAGCACGGTCACTGTCCGGCCTGCGCAACATGATCGCACCGCTAACCTTTGCTTCCTCACAGTCCACATCTCGACTGCTCGATTCGCAGCCGGCGCGTGGTGATCGCTTCTCAGAGGAGTGCTTGCATACCTGCAACTAACGTGCTCGCACGGGCTGTTAGCGTCAACGGGGTAGATTCGTCATTCTTCGAAGTGTACGCAGCAGGTCTGGCGATCAAGCATCGGCAGACCCTCCTCACGGCCCTCTGCCAAGCGCAAAGTTGTCTAGGAGAACCACGCGGACGCGCATCGGCTGTGCTGATCTACAGCAAAAGCAAATATGGCCGGCTCTAGCTTCCTCTATCCCTCGCCCTGCTCCCCAAGATCCGACTACTTAAAGGAACGATGTCTGCTCCCTGGTTGGCGACTCTGGACGCCCAGCAACCCCTCGATCTCAAGCTCACGGAATACTCCAATTATTGGTCACTTGTTCCACATACTTCCCTTCATCCGTTTACGATATGGCCCAAGCCAAGTCCTGTCTGACAACCAACAGCAGGTTCAAAGAACAACACCTCAGAACTGCTTTGGTTTGACGATACGACTCACGTCCTTCAAGGGACCGGTTCAGTAACCTTGAGCCGTGCAGCACTCACAACGGCCACCACGCGTAGACAATAAGTATATACAGAGTACATTGTAACACAGGAGCAGCGCACTTGCCCAAAAACACGAAAATCACTCGATAAAAGGCTCAGAGAATGGTTGTCTTTGCACGCTATGGCATGGTATTCATTTGCTGAAAGGGCAACTAATATGTACGTCCTCGGACATCAAGACGAGCCAGCGGAGCTGGAAGTATAGTATCAACGTTCTCCACGTGGGTTGCCATCTGGTCTTCCCAAAAGTCGACTAGATCTGGCGGCCACACACAACACTCTGCAACCAAGCTAATTTAGAGGTTGCCGACGGTGGTCTGGAGGGGAGCGACGACGTTAGGGACAACGCTCTGGAGGTTGGCAACGAGGCCCTTGATCTCGTCAGCGAGAGGGCTGACGGTGGTGCCAACGAGACCGAGAGCCAGGGTGGTGACGGGCTTGATGATGGGCTGGACGATGTCGAGGACCTGCTTGAGCTCCTCCTGGACGAGGGTCAGGACGCCTAAGGAAAGGGTAACATTAGCACGGCTCAAAATATGGCTCGAAAGTGTGGCTCCACATACTGCCAACAAGGTTCTCAACAAGGCTGCGGACGATGGCCTCGATGCTGCCGACGAGGGTGAGGATGGTCTGGACGAGGTCGCGGACGACGGCGAGCTCAGCGGCAACAAGGGGGACGACCTGCTCGGTGACGAGGGGCAGGACAATGTCAAGGACACCCTTGACCTGGGCGACGACGTTGGTCAGGGTGACCTTGACGATAGGGACGACCTGCTCGCCGACGACGACGCCAACGAGGCTCTGAACAAGGGCGACCTCGCTCTCGACGAGGGGCATGACACCACCGGCGAGGGTAAGGGTGCTCTGGAGGGTCTTGATCTGGGTGACAGTGACGACGACGCTCTGGACGTTGCCAGCGACGCCGCTGGTAACACCGCCGACGGCACCGCTAGCGACGCCGCCGACAGCGCCCTTGACACCGTCAACGACGGGCACGGCGGGGACAGCGAGGGCGCTGACGGCCGGGAGGGCGGCGAGGGCGTACTTGAAGAACTGCATCTTGAGGGTGGGTGAGATGGGAAGATTAAGAGTTGATTATGGTGTAAAGAGTGACGAGGTCGGATGATGATGATGGCTTCCAAAGGAGTGACTGTGTTGAGCAGAGCTTGACGAGGAGAGACGGAAATGGAGGGGAGTAGAGGACGAGTCGTGAGATATTATACTCGGTCTCACTAGCCACTGTCGAGGGCGGATCTGGACCTGACGATCGTTGCTGGGCAGAAGGCGGGCGTGGCCCCTTTCCCGCGAGCATCTTGGACGAATGGTGATGGACATTGCAGCGCGTGTCGAGGCTGGGATGGCGACGGGGTCGAGGAGGCCAGTGCCGCACGCCTTGACAACGTTGTGCATTGGGAGACGGGCTAGCAGGGACGCTACGATAGCGTGCCTTAAGGTATCCTAGGGTAGGCATGGCAGGCCTGTGCAGTGCTGTCAGCAAGGTGGTGGAGTTTGGAGTGATGGTCGTGCCGATCGCAATGAGGAGCCCTGTGCTGGGCCCTGCTCCCTGGCAGGCGGCTCCACTGAACAGACTTGTCGGGACTGCGTGTCTGGCGAATCACTGCCGTCGCATGGCGTTGCAGCCGGGCTCTTTCTGTCCTGGCAGGGCCGCCGCCGGGCCAGCCTGACAGATGACAGTCGCTCTTTTCCCCGTCTGGCCCGCGCTAGCACCAGCCCCGGCGCCCTGGCGTTTCGAACCCGCTTTGCCTTTGTCCTCATCTCACCCTCGGCGCCGCTCGCTGCTCGCCGCTCACCACGTTGCTGCATGCATGAAAGGCCGCCGCTCGCGTGGGCGCAACGTGCTTTGTCCCAGGCCGCACGCCAGCCGGCCACCTGATCTATCGCACCAGACTAACACGCTTGTTCAGTAGTCTCGTGGCCAGCACGACTCGCGGTGCGGTGATGGACACAGATACACAGTCAGGGTGCATCCTGGCAGGTGCACGTCGAGACCAACTTAAGGCCACTCAGAGTGCCAAAGCGATGTCACTGTGTGGGCTGGCCATCGTTCGTCGCCTTCTTCCCCAGGCGGGATCTGCAGCGGTAATCACCGCCTGGCAGACACAAAACCACTCATGACGAACGGCAGTTGAACTGTAATGCCATGCAGAACAAAGGGGGGGACGCATGAGCACGACTCACCCGGGCGTCGTGATCAGCCTGGCTTCTTGCCTTGCCTCAACCTACCAATCCACACTCCAACCATCGGCGAGAGAAAAGGCTCCACGGAATACACTATTGCAGTCTTTGCCTGGCAGAAGCACACCTACAAATGACCCCGGCGTGTCAGGCTCGGCAACGAAGGGTACCGCGCACTGGTGGCGCGCAATAGCTGGGCGTTGGAGCGTGGCGTCGGCGTGGCTTGTTCCGCGACGAGTGGTCTGCTTGCAATGAGCTGCTGCGCAGATGGCGTTTTCTCCAGGAACCTGGGCTGGGGCTAGGGCTCGCTGGCTCTCTCGTCGTCGTCGTCGTCGGTGGTCCTGTCGCGCAACAATAACGACAAGTGCCGCTGCCACACGGACCCATGTTCTTGGGTCATCGAGCGAGTGGGTGACTAGACTAGGGGTGGTCATCAGGTCAGGGGCAGGGACAGGCCTCTGGGAGGGAGGAGGAGGGGACCCTAGCTGGCTGGGCAATCCCACTCTGCCCTCGATCGGCGTCGTCTCATCGGCACTGCTTTGTGCGTGCGCTGGCTCGACCGCGACCCGGGCAGCGAAGTATAATACCCTGTGGTGACAGTGATCGCTGGTCCTCGCTTGGCGGTATGGCGTCATAGACGAAAGCAGCCCATTTCCTACTGCTGATCTGTATGAGCCGGCTGGGCCTCGCGGCGCTGGCGGTGAGGTGCCTGCCAGTGGTGGTCATCAGTCCGTCAGGCAGTCGGTTGCCGGTATAGTCCAGACACGGGGGGCGGGAGGTACTGCGTATCGGGATATTTTGCGCCAGCCAGCCACAGCCGGGACTTGGATCTCTCCTTCCACCTGTCCCACCTTCTAGCGTGGCCAACAGCAAGTAGACGGGCACGGACAGTTCTCTGTCCACTAGACTAGTACCTGCAGGAGCCCGACCGGTCTCTCGTCCAGTGATGCATACCTGACGTCCAAGCGGGCTTTTTTATTTTTATTCTCAGGTTTTGCTGGTTCCAGCTGCTTTGCATCATTACTGATAAGGCACAGCAAGATTTGATCATGGACCGTAGCGTAAGCTTGCTTTTCCTTTGATGTCCTCGCCATGGATAACATGCGGGACATGTGCCCGTGCCCGCGCCCACGGATGCGCGTGGAGAAGGGCGAGATTGCAGACTCCGCTCTGGCTCCGGGGCTGGGGAACCCGGGTGGAGGGAGTATCCACGCCTGGCTCTCTTTCGACCAGGACGAGGGTTGTTCATACTCTTGCGCAGCGTACGGAATAATCGGAAGGTAATCATGTCAAGAGTGGTGAGGGGGGAGGGGGGGGTCCTTCCGGAGACTTTCCCGGACAACAACTACCCTAGGGTACCTATCTCTACGGCGCAGGTACTGCAAGGGAGGAGAGATTGGACCCCAAGCAATCTACTTGGCAGGCTCGCTGAATGATGACGGTGCTTTTAGGCCTAAGGTCGCTGTTTGCTGCGTCAGGAAGAACTCGTGGGCTGCTCACCTTTATGTGGCACTCACTTTGCAGGCCCCGCGGTTCTGCGTGTACAGTTGCGTAGGGTAAGGGTAGGTATCGTGTTCAAGGGGAGACCACTGAGCAGCGAATGGAGGTCATGACCGGACAGATAGAGAAGGGTCCAGGGGTGGTGGCTCTCCTTTTCAGTAAGGTCTCCTTTGGACGTGGTCGAGATGATACACTACAAATTGCCCATCTTCGGCATGCTTGATGTTACACCGGTGCTGTGCTTGTGTGACATCGATATCCTGATTTGAAACCGTATCGTTACGCCATGGCGTATTGGTAAGGCCCGAATCCTTTCCTGTGCCAATTCGCAATATTTCCAGATCACTAATTACAAGGGAAAATCCCCCGAACAACAAGCCCAGCGCATCGTGACTTCATCAAGAGTGCACACCAACTACTATGTGGACCGTGCTAAGCGGTGATACACCTTATCGATAACATCCGGGCAAGATGGCCGAGCGGTCTAAGGCGCCAGACTCAAGTTGCAACGAAACTTGCCTCTCTCACTCTCCTCCAGGGGTGCTCAAAGAGAGGTCCATATTCTGGTCACGAAAGTGGCAGGGGTTCGAATCCCCTTCTTGTCATGATATATCATTGCACCTATCCGGTGTTGTGAGGTTTACCCTTTTTGGCCATTGGGTCAGATCCGGAGGCTGAGCGTCTGTCTTTGTTGTGGTTGTGGTGGTGTGGTCGGATGCTTTTGATTCTCGCGATGCTGGCGTTACTGCTCGCTCATACTTTCTTGCAATGCTGTGTCTGGTGCAGCTGTCCTCTCACGCCGCACAATGTGTTAGTCCCTATGTCCCTTGTTGTAGAAGGTCTGACGACTTCGGGGAGCTCTGGATGGTCTAGTGCGGACGTGATCTGCCCCAAGACCGTCGAAGAGTTATATCGGATTCTTCTTTTTGAAGCGGCGGCTCCAAGCCTGCTTCTCCACGTGTCGTGTAAGTCACAACAACACAATCCCATGAGACCCCTGCAACTGCCCAGAGTCTCCCGCTGCTTGTCATAATCAACTTCACACTGAGAGAGTCTACACTGATGGAGTTGACGCCGCACACAGCCCGTGTACTGCTTAGTATGCATGGCGCGTACAAAGCAGCAGCTCGGGATCAAACCGGCCGCAGCGTTCTGTGCGGCGGGTTGGAGCTGGCTCGAGGGAGCACTCCTTCCGAAATAGGCAGGTAGGTCTTTCAGCCCATCCCGGCCCAGGTCCGCAACCCGGCCACCCCACCACCGGAGTTCGCGGAGCGCCAAGTCCCTGTCAGCAACCTCATCCTTGAAAGCTCTCTGGCACGATTCCAGTCTCGAGACATCCAGGCTCAGACTCAGCATCACCAGCGGCGGACAAGATGGTTAGGAGAAGGACTGTACCGGAGCAGCTGCCGCGGCAGTCGCCGGCGCCCACGAGCGCCCCCACAGATGGGCTACCGGCTCGCATCTACTCCCACAGTCTCGGCGTCACGATCCGGACGCGCGAAGATAGCAGTGCATCAGCCGCCGGCTACTCCAGCGACGACGACGACGACAATGACGACAGCGGTCCATACAGTTCCAAAGAGCACGGCAGCCACCCCGCCAAGCCCAAAAAGACATCCATCATCATCGCCGACACGCTCATCCCGGGCGCCGGCGCCCCGCAGCACGACGCCGCGCTCGTCATCCAGGACGCGCTGATCGCCTGGGTCGGCCCCAGCAACGCCGTGCCCGCGCGGTATACGCGGCACACGCCGCCGGGCCGCATCTTCCGCGTCCCCGTGGCCATGCCGGGCCTGTGGGACGTGCACGTGCACTTTGAGGGCGAGAACGGCGGGGAGGACGGCGGGGACGAAAACGTCGCCCGGATCGCGACGCACCCGGCGGTCCACGGCGCGCAGCTCGCCCGGGGCTGCTGGGAGGCCCTACAGCGCGGGTACACCTCGATGCGCGACCTCGCGGGCTACGGGTGCGAGCTGGCCCGGGCGATCGAGCAAGGTGCCGCTGCTGGCGGCAGCGGGATCGTAGGCCCCAACATCTACAGCGCGGGCGCGTGCCTCAGCCAGACGGGCGGGCACGGGGACATCTTCCAGCTGCCCCCCGGCGACGCGCTGCTGAACCTGGGCGTCTCGTCCGGGGTCATCCGGCCCGGGACGAGCCTGGGCGGGGGCAGCTCGGTGCTGGTCGACGGCGCCGACGAGTGCCGGCGGGCGGTGAGGCTGCAGATCCGCCGCGGGGCGCGGTGCATCAAGATCATGGCGTCCGGGGGCGTCGGGTCGCGCGACGACGACGTGCACTGCGCGCAGTTCAGCCCCGCGGAGCTGCGGACCATCGTCGACGAGGCGGGCCGGCAGAACGTCAGCTGCGCGGCGCACGTGCACAGCAAGGCCGGCATCGTGGCCGCGGTCGAGGCCGGGGTGCGGTCCATCGAGCACGTGAGCTTCGCGGACGAGGAGTGCGTCGAGCTGATCAAGCAGAAGGGCGTGGTGTGGGTCGCCACGCGCACGGTGAATGAGATCCTGAAGCAGAGCAAGGGCCGGGGCCTGCCGAGGAGCGTGTGGGAGAAGGCCAAGATGGTGAACGGGCGGAGCCTGGAGGCGTACAAGATGGCCATCGCGGACGGCGGCGTCACGTTCGCCCTGGGCACGGACACGCCGCCCGGGTTCAACATGGCCGTCGAGCTCGGGTATGCCGTGCAGGCGGGCATGACGAACCTCGAGGCCATCCGGGCGGCGACGGCGAACGGTCCGCTCGTGCTCGGCGAGAAGGCGCCGCTGTCGGGACGGCTGGAGGTCGGGTATGACGCGGATGTACTTGGTGTGCTGGCGAACCCGGCGGATGATGTGACGGTCTTGACGAAGAAGGATAATATCAAGTGGGTGTGGAAGGGCGGGAGGCTGTATAAGGGGCCCGGAATAGGGCCGTGGGGAGAGGAGGACTGAGGGATGGCCTCCAATGTTCAGAGACTAACCGTGTGCTTTGTGATATTAGCATGGAGATATGTTTCGACCCGAGCTGGCGTACAAAATTGAGGTCAGATAGTTGAACGTTGATAATGGTCATCTAGTCGAAATGCTATGTTGATTCGTGACCCGATGCATGTGCCAAATCCGAATTATATTTTGTTCAGTTGTCGCTGAATACAATGGACAGGACTTTCAAGAAGTATGCGTAATTCCACTAAGAGAAAATTCGGGGCATCCGACTGACGACACAGTTGTCGCGGCGCCAACGGAAAGCGAAAATCTGACGAACTTATACATTAATTGGGTGTTTTAATCTGTTCGACGATCCTGTATTTACAGACCAACACACCAAAAAACCTAAGCAGCAAGTGTGTCCGGCGCTACAAGTTACATTAACTTATCGTGATTGGTTTGTTGTATACCTGAATGCCCATGAAAAATTTCGGGGAGAGGCACCTCCTGGAACTCCATCTCGGTGTCAATCGTTGATGGCACGAGCCTGGCGTTCCTCCTGCGTATTATACGACACCGCTGTGTGACACCAGGTCGAAACACGCTCGCGCACACACACTCACACACACGTTGCCGCGAAAGAGTGGTTGCTTCACCCGCTGCCACACAGAAGCAATCGATGAGAACAATGCCAAGGGCACACGCATCCCGGTGTTCAACATAGAATCTCATCATGCCAACCATCGGAGCATAAAACCCCACTGATACCAAAATTCACCATCCAGGCATACAATCATTCTCTGTATTGGGCAAATACTGATTTTATTCCCGCCTCCGATGTCAGTTGGGGATAGGCTCGGCCAGTGACAGGCTCCGGCTCGTAACACGGCCGTGCGTCCCCTCACAGGGAGGCCAAAGACAAAAACAAGCTTTCCAACCGTGCCGCTTGAAACCACGAGGGCCCGATCGCTCCCGTTCCCGATCCCGTCCCGTTGCGCAGTGCGTGTGTGTGGGTAATGGCGTGGATAGCCCCGGCGGTGCTTTTTGCAGGAAGCTGAAACGGAACCCCCCCCCCCCTTTTGCTGACGATACATTTTTCTCACTTTCCACCCTTCTGGAGTCAAACACGTTCGACATAAAACCGCTGGTGGATCGCAGTGTGGGAGCTCGAGATGTCCTTTTGAGCTCATGCGCACGCCGGCTGGGCAGGTGTCTCCAAACAGGGCATCGTCAAAAGACGCAAGATCTTGACGGTTGCTTGCTGGAATCCTCCCGCATCAAAGTGGCAGATGGCCGAGGTTGAGGGAGCTACCCACAAGTCTGGAAAGACAGCTTCTCGAATATTATGACCCATCATCACTGGATCACAGAGGAATGTAGTGGCAGGGCCCTGGTGGTTGAAGAAAGAAACAAGGAAAATTATCATTGCGATGATTGCTGCTTGGCGGCTCACCTCTCTCAGGGAGATGCCGTGGAAAAATGTATCTGCGCCTTTGTGTCGAACGCCTCCTCAAAATAAGCCCAAATGACTCTTCTCCATGCCCCCCAGCTCATCTATGGTCCAGTAGTCCTCATGTAATGTCCAACGGGTGACGTTGTCTGATGACGACGTATTGTGATGATACCGACAGTGATGCACATATCGCGTGCCTGCATCAGTCTCTCCTGCCCGCCTGTCTCCCACCTTGGAGGGAGACACTCCCAGGAAGAATAAATAAAATTATCTTGCGCGTCTGCCCTTGGCAGATGTCGAAGTCGAAGGGTTGTCGAGCTTATGCTCAGCAGAAGTCACAGCAGTCGAGACAATCCAAGCAGCACTCGCAGGTTTCACCGCAGAGCCAGCAGCAGCAGAGTGTGGCCAGACTAGGTGAAGAAGAAGATAATGTGTTAGCGGCTCTGTGGTTCATCTAGCACGTGGCAGGGCTGGCGAGATCTGGTTGGTCGAGAGGCAGCCACTCGCTTTGCGGCGAGCTGCTTCCTTGCCAGTGACGGCAGCGTTCATGATGGGAAGTCCGGGGATTTTTGCTCACCATGTGTAGAGGCAGCCGTGGCTCTTCTCCTTCTTCTCCTCCGGGGGAGGGCCGGGTGCGTACTGCATCTGCTGGGGCGGAGGACCCTGGTAGTAGCCTCTGTACCGAGGGGGAAAGGTGTTAGTCAGGCGATGCCGACAGGAGCTGCTGAGAGCTGCTGAAAGCTTCTAAGAGCTCTTGAGAGCTCTTGAGAGGAAGAACGTACTGCTGCGGCGGCGGGCCCTGGTGGTAGCCCTGGTCATAGCCCTGCTGAGGAGGGTAGCCCTGCTGGTAAGACATGATGGCGGTGTGTTTTTGTTGAGGGAGTGGACGGCGAGAGCTGAGCGGCGAAGAGAAGGCTGAATGGATGGACGATGTAATAGAGACGGATGGCGCTAAGGGAAGAGAGGAGACGATGGGACGAGGAGGATGGAGAATATTAATAAGGACGCAGTACGAGAGCCGGAGCCGGGAGGACGGGAGGCCTTCTGGCAACGCTTGGCTGGCAATGGGCCAGAGAGACCCCAGGGGTTCAGACTTTCTGGCGGCAGCAGGGATGGCGAGATGGGGATGGGATGGGATGGGATGCGACAATCAAACGACGGGCGGGCGACCCGCCAGCGAACATGTCATGCACTGGGTGCAATGCAGCCAAGCCACCCGCCGCCCACATCATCCATC